CAGTTAAAGCCCTCTATAAGATCAGCCTGTATATTGATGGGAATCTGATGACAGCGGACGGTAACGCAGGATTGGGGCGATGCTGCTGCAAACCAACACGAGGCAGCGAGCCCCTCGTCATGTAAGGTTCTGGTTCTGCCCGTGCATCATCGGTCCATCACGGACCGAAAGCCGCCGAGGTGGTGGCGACGGTGACAAGAGAGGCACGAGGCCGGCTGGCGGAGAGGAAAAGAAAAAAAAAGAAGAAAAAAAAAGAGGCGGTCTGGATCTGGATCATCCTCCCAGCTTTCCGTTACCACAGACCGCCTCACACAGACCCGAACACGATAAACACAACAAACAGCTTTTCTCCCTCTTCAACAATTTCAGCACAAACTCTGCCCGTCCGTGTCTTACCTCAGGCGGGGTGTCGAACCAAGTTTCCTTCAGCAGCCATGATGTTCCGAACCCCCCCTATCTCCCTTCGTCCACACGAACCGAGCCCCCCTCCTCTGGCTCAGTCGGTCGTGTTCCCCAGCACAAAATAAGATCCACGTTATGTAAAAATCGGCGATTTGCAGCTAAAAATCCAGGCTGTTAGCTTCCAGCACAGCTGGGCTCTTTTCTCCGGAGCTGGAGAGAGTTCGGTACGAACAGGGACGGCTTACCGGTTCAGCTAGCCGTGCAGCCGGAGGAGGCAGCCCGCGGTGTCTAACACTGACAACAGTACTCTAATAAACCTATTTTACATCAACGAGATGACTTCTTACAAGTAAAGATCATCTTGCATAAATAATGTATGGTAAACTGATCAGTAATCCAGTCCGTTTTCTTATTGGTTAAAAAAAAAGAAGCTAACGTTGCCTGGCTAGCTAGCTAGTAGCATGCTATCTAATAAAACAGTGTCATTGGAACTGGAAGGCAGTCTGCACATTGCGAGGTGATTGACAGCTAAACTCACTCATCGGATTAATCTTCAAAGGCAATGAAAGGAAAAGTGTTTTTCAGTAAAGTGCAGCTAGCCTTGTTCTGAACAGCCCCCTGTGATGGGAATATTGGCCAGAGGAAAGGGGCTGCATTCAGCGCGCGCTCCCGACAGCACGCAAGTATCAGCACGCGCGCTCCAGAGACATTACCCACACAAAATGGCTGCCAAAACAATCTGCTAATGGTCACACAAAGTTTGAATGAGTTCTGACAGAAAGAATCTGTCTGGTTGTTTTAAACCTAATATGCTGGAACCAGGTTTCCTACACATATTGGACCACTTTTCTACAGTCAGGCTGTTTAATCAAAGTTAAGTTAACTTTGGCTTAAACTGAAAACCCCCACCTCAACACTGAGGTTAAATTCAGCCTAAATAAAATGCTCCACTATATTCTTTAAATTAAACTGAGCCAAAATTGAACATTCCACCAAATTATCTTACATCAATTCTTCAAATGTCCTCAAAATAGGACATTAAACAAAATGCAAATATTTGCAAATCTCATTTTAGTTACATTAAACATAACATGTTGAAATTGCACCTTTTTCTTTTTTTTAAATAGTTTTTAAAAACAGACGAAAAGGTTTAATATGTTTGCAGAAAAACTGTTGTGTTAAAATAATTTCAGAATAATGTTCCTCACTGAAAACGACGCTTTTGCTATCCAATCAGCCACATTTTATATCCTTTAAAACATATTGGAGATACATCAGGAAAATTAATTTCCAACAATTTTAATATATTTACAAGGAAAACAATTATGTTGAACGTTTTTTTTAAACTTGTTATATACTGTGTATGATTTTTCAGGGTGACTGACATGTTAAATGTTTTTTTTCTTTATAGTAAATGAAAATTTGTGACTGATTAGTTGTTTTGTATCCTGTCTTTATTCTGCATGGGCCTCTATTTTCATTAGGGTTTTTTTTTTTTTGTATTTTGTTTATCGTGTAGTTATTTTTTTTATTTGTGAACTATGTATGTTGTGTGTTTTGTGTTGTTTTACGTTTAATGTATGGACCCCAGAAAGAAAGAAAGAAAGAAAGAAAGAAAGAAAGAAAGAAAGAAAGAAAGAAAGAAAGAAAGAAAGAAAGAAAGAAAGAAAGATAGATTTCTCTGGGCTGAAGCTCATTTAAACTTCAAAGAAAGTAAACAAAAAACTGTTCTAGTCAGACCCAGCAAAACTGGAACATTTTTTAGAAAACCAGACACCAAGTCCTCAGTGCTAAATATCCCTCTCTCTGATGGTATAGGGGTGCATTAGAGCCTTTTGCATCAGTAACTTACACATCTGTAGAGGCTCCATCAGTGCAGTAAAGTTTAGACCTTTGAGCATATACCCCTCATCCAGAGGACATGTTTTTCAAGGTATTTTTTTTCAGGAAGACCATAATAAACCAGACTACATGTAGATCAGCTGCTTGAGAGTAGATGAGTCTGTGCTGAACTGACCCCCTCAGCAGTTCAAACCATAGAGCTCATCACGAAACAAAAATCCAGCAGAGAGCTAGGACAGTTGAACGGCTAGAATCATACATCAGACAATACTGGGACGACTTTCACCTCCAGTCTGCAGCAGGTGGTCTCCTCGGGTTTTACATGTTTACAAACTGTTGGTCAAAGAAAAGGAGATGCTTCATAGTGGGGAAACATGATCCTGACCCAATTCATTTGAGAGTATTGCCACAATCAAACTCCAACTATTTCTTTCTTTAAAAAATATGAATAAAAAGTGACTACTTTTTCAGAACATTGTGAAAATAAAGTCCATAAAAACACAATTTACTGAACCCAATGAAAATTAATTAAAAATATGAGCATGAGAGATTTGTAAAACATTTTGCTTTTACATCGTTTTTTTTTTATTAGTAGGGTCATAGTCCAACTTGAATGCTGCCATGAAGTTCAGTTCGACTGATTGAAGGTATCACAAAGAGAGACTGAGCTCCATCTTTGCACCAACATGACCTGAAGTTTCAATATATAGTTGGACTGTGTAGAAAATTAGTCATTAAAATATATTTTTTAAGTAACATTTGACTTCCCCATTCTAAAAATATATATATTAAAAAATCCCAGTAAATCACAAATGACATCTTAAAATATTTTAAATCACATAAATAAAAAAACTGACCTGTACCATGCAAGCAAACTGGACCTAAAGACATGAAGTTAAATTTTATGCACAGTAATCTTTTTAGATAGACTATTGTTATCAGTAATATTAGATTTAGATCAAAACATTTGAAAAACCTGAGACATACTCAAAAATCTGGTGTTACAATAAAGTGTTATTTTTAACACCTACGCATTTCTTTATGCTGACCATTGTTTAGGACCTGAAAACCAGTAGATAAACAAAAACAGATAATATGTTTGAACAGGCAGCTGACCGATTCTCCAACATAAAAAACTCAAACATAACTGATAAATGACACCTTTAGTGAGCAATCAAAGAACACTGCGGCAGGTAAATGGTTGATAAAATTTTAATGATTCAAACAAAGCAATCCACAAAAAAATACAAAATATCTGAAGGTTAGAGATGGGCTGAACGTGAGCAGAGACGGGCTGAGAGGAGGGCAACGTAAAGTCGATGGTCGTCCACATCTCACTTCTTCTGTTTTGGTGGAGGTCTGAGGAAAGTGAGAACATTATTAAAGTCTGAATGCATCTCTCAACCTGCAGCCAAAACTCAGCTCTGCATCACTGGAAGGAAAGGAAAACTCCTCAACACCACTAACATTACCCAAGGTGGCACAGCAATCATCTTTCTCTAGGTTGGACTTCTTCTTCACCTTAAATATTCATTTTTTATGATTATTTTCTAAAGGTAGTGCTTGAAACTGAAGGCTTAGGTTTGTGCTTGTTGAAAGTAGAAGTTTTAATTAGTGAATGGTGATTTTATAAATGTTAAAATTGTAACAAGAGCATAAATTATAGCAGATTAACTGAAGCAACTGCACTCCTCATCTGTCAACACCAGGTTCTAGTTCAGTCCATCTTTTTTACATCAAATCTATTTAGGGGTGCTGGAGATGAGTTTGGTTGATAGTTGAAACTTGGATTCAGGAGGAACAAGGCAGGTCTCTTGCTGACTCTGGAACAGTACAGATCTTTACCCTCGTTAGGGTCCATGAGGAGACCTGGGAGTTATCCAGGATCTGCCAGGTTGTCCTCTCTGATTCTGTTAAATCTCAGTGAAGCAGGAGGCCCAGGGGGTCTAGTTCTGTGGCTTTAGAACTCTATTTACAGATGACATGGTCTTGTTGGTGCCATTGTGCTGTGACCGGTTTGCAGCTGGGATGAAGATCAGCACCTCCAGATCTGAGGCCATGGTCCTCAGTCAGGACAGGATGGACTGCCCTCTACAGGTTGGGAATGAGGCACTGCCCTCGAGTGAAGTAGTTCTGGAGTATGTTGGAGTTTTGTTCATGAGTGAGGGAGGCAAGAAGGAACAGACCGATCGCTGAGGCTTCTGCAGCATTCTGTACTCTTTACTGGTTCACTGGGTTGAAGAGGGAGCTGAGCTGAAAGTCAAAGCTCTCAGTTTACTCCATTCCTACCCTCACTGATAGAGTTTTCTCCACTAGGACTGTACGATGTATCACAATGTACGTGTACACAACAGTCACATCGCAGGTGCTGCTACCACTATTGGTAAATGGCTAAAAAAAGAACCTGAAGTTGGTTTACCTGTAGATACCCACGACTACAGCGTGGTCCCTCTCATAGGGTTCCAATGTGAGCTGCTCCTGTGGTTTCATGTTCTCAGCGCTCATCTTCTTTACTTCTGAAGCAAAAACAGCTTCCGGAGCTGCTGTTGAGTCTATGCAGTTAGCCTTCAGGAGATTAAAACAAAAAAACAGGAACAGTTTTAAACAGTTACCCAGTTTGTAAAGACATTAAAAACAAGTGAAAACGTATCAGTGACTAATTTAACAATGTATGATAATCTATTATATTAACATTTCTTCACAGAGGTCACTGCTGCCCATATTCAGTAGTCAGTGTGAGATGAGGGGTACACCCTGGACAGGTCACAAGTCCGTCACAGAGACTAACAACCATTCACTCTCACTCATACCTAGGGACAATTTAGAGTTATCAATTAACCTAACAGTCCTGCTCTTTGATCTGTGGGAGGAAACTGGAGAAAACCCACCCATGCACAGAGAGAACATGCAAACCCTACTCAGAGGTCCCTGGCTGGGATTCAGTCCAGCAACCCTTTTGCTGAAAGCCAACAGCTCGATCAACTGAGCCACAGTGTTGTTGTTATGTACAGTAACATAACACATACTCAGTATACCTTTAACTCTAGGCCAAAAACTATTCAAGTAAAAAAAAAAAGTTAAAATACCACCAACAGTTTTAACAATTTTCTTACTATTCTACTTCAACGCTGAGCTAAATCTCCTTTACCTCCATGTTTCAACATTTAATATCTGTTCACATCCCATACAGGGTCTAAACAGCCAAGAAGTTAAAGCAAGAGCTTTATAGTTTAAAAAATCTAATTTTCTCCTCTTTATTCATGTCTTCAAAAAGTTTTCCTCGCATTTAACAATTACTGCTACTCTATACACAGGTGCACTTTGCCCACATTGTTTTTACATTATACTAACAATTACTAAATGATGGGAAAAAGCTGAAATTTTGTACACAAAATATAGCATCATTTTATATTTGTTTAAATGAGCTATAATAAAGAGCTTCAACCAGAACAAATCAAAATGCTTTCAGTCATCGTCTCTGTAATTAGAAAGGAAAATAAACGGTGTGCTTACTGGACCATAATCATCACGTAACTGGTTTTTTAAAAGCACTCTTAAAATTTTGTTAGACAACCACATTTTGTCAAGAACTTGTCTGTTGAACAACCTGAAAGATTTCCTCATGTCTACCCTGTAAATATTATTAATATATATGTGATGTTAGCTCGGGAGCTAGGCTAAAGCTGAAGTGAGCGTCCATGGCAATCCTGGACGTACCTTTATAGAGATAACAAAATGTCCTCCATTCTTCAGGAAGTTGTGTGCGTTCAAAGCGACGATTCTTGTCTGGTCAGGCTGAGCAACATCTGCAAATACCACATCCACCATGCCTGGAAACAAAAGATCACTGCATAAACACACCCGGGCATTTTAAACATTCACAACACATTAGAGACTGAATTTAGAAACACAGCTCTTTTTTTAATAGAAATAAATACAAATATTAAATTTTATTAAATTAATGATGTAAAGTTGGATAATGTGAGGACCAGGCATTGGTATCCATGATGTACATTTGCTCCAAACGAGGCTGATAATTAGAAAAAGCAACTGCCACCCACCATACTAATCCATAAATGTAAAGTATAAAAATGTAATTAACTACTTTTAAAGACTGAACAGGAACCATGTAGACCTGTGAGGACTGTCACCTGCTCTACACACATTCTGTGAGAGGTTTACTGTCTCCCCAGAGGAGAGTCAGTTCTAGCCCTTACACATCCTATGAAAGGAGTTGACTTTCACCTAGACATGAACAGAGAGAGGTCACTAAACGTCTACCTACCAACCAGCATTCGATATTTGTGTGGATGTCTGGCATCTTCGATGATTGGAATGATGTTGGTGCGTTTCTTTGCAACATTCAGAAGGTCCCGACCTGATCGATGGGAGAACTCCACAGCGTACACGAGTCCCTCCTAAAACACAGAGCATAAACATTTTACACCTTTACCTTCAGTAAAACATCACCAGAGTATACTTTAGGTTATATGTGCTTATTTTGTTACAACACCACTGTGTTTAAGGATAAACATTTTAAGCAAGATTCAGAGTTTTTTTAATAGTCTTGGTACTCTTTTAACAAAAAATTCTGAGAGAATTATTTACAATGTCACACGATAAACAGGCCCATATAAAAATTACTGCAGGGTTTAAAAACAAACATATAGATGACCTTTTCTAAAAAAAAATACAATATGCTTTTATATACCATGATGTACACCAGCAGTACTGCAGTTCTTCTTTTGAACAGTAGGTGTCCCACCACCACTGAACAGCACCATAACTGTTCATTATAAAAATTAATCTGACTGTATTAATCCATAAACAGAAGGATCAGTTACCTTTAGATTTATCACCAAAAACTGAACGGTGGTAGCATTAATATGATGTGGAGTTTTTAAGCCTCCAGTGATAACAGTACAGTGCACAAAGTTAGTGTTAGGACGGACTAGAGACACAAATTCATTCAACTTCACTTTAAATTAACGACAACTGAATCAGCTGGGGTCTAAGACTCAACAGGACAAGGTTTTCAAACAAACATCAGAGCTTTTTCTGATTGGATGAAGCAACATGTCTGGAATGGTCTTCACAAAGCCCCAACTTCAACTATACTCTCCTACAATAATGGCTTTAAATGAACTAATAATTCTTCCAAAAAGCAATTAAACATTAGCCAGAAATCTATGAAAACTTGGTGATGGATAAAAAAAAAGTCTGTGGTCCAGGTGCAACTTGCTAAAGGGACAATTAATGGGAAAACATGAACATTTAAGCCTTATAAGTGTGCATCATCTTCAGACCATAACTCTATAGATGTCCATATGGTGGTTTAAAAAGTGGCATTTATTAAGACAAGTTATTAAAAGGTGTGTTTTTCTCTCATGGTATGAGATTCAGGACAGGGTGAGGATCAGGAATGAGCTTCCTGCACATTCTGAAGTAACACATTAGAAAAGGTGAATGGAAACGGCACGATTTTAAAAAACTCGCTCTATTTCGCGAAAGCGTTTTTACGTTTGCTTGAGGTGGTTTTTGATTAAAAAAACTGTTGTTGGCTGTCCGGTACCGGTACCAGCTGCAGCCTCCTCCCACTGTCCTGGATATTCCCGTAGCGTGAGGAGAATTGCATTACTTTTTCTACGTCTCCAGACAGCATGCAACGTCGCCAATACTCGTTGAGATGACCGAATAATTACCGTACAACTTTCCTGATAGTGGCAACATGCTCATAACTTCTCTCCATTGTCCTGAGATGCGTATCCTTGCGACTTCTATACCCCGTTTACTACAGCCTGCGTAACATCATCGTCTGGCATAATTACTTTGTGTAGCCTGGTTGATTCACTCCAAGCCAGTTGATGGAAACACGTCTGAGTCACATTTCTTTTTTTCCCCTTCCTTTTTGCAACATTTTAAAAGTTCACACAAAGCTCAAATTAAAATTGGATGGAACACAGCTATTCTGTGGCCAAACTTGATTTCTCCTACAACCATTGACCACAAACACCACCCCTCATAAAACTTGTAGGAAGGAAATTTGTTTTTTTACAAACACTTGTGCACACACTTCTTTCTGGTCAGACTGGGTTCAGTATAATTTCTCAGATTAAAATAAAAAATTTCAGACGGTTCAGTTTTGCTGTCTTTTATTTACAAATTTATAACCGTTATGTGTTGTAAATAATGTAGACATTATGACTGACACAATTCAGAATGGCTTGTTTGTACAGAAACCGTGAGAAATTTTTTATAAGGTTGTATAAGGTTGCCACCAAGTTCCACTTTTAGTCAAAGCGTTCATGTTATTCCAATGAAATATTTGACATTTCTTTCTACGAGCGCCAAGATACTTGTTGCAAACAGTCCCGACATAAAAAAAGTAATTTAGAAATACTAACAAGGTTCAAGAAAGAGATAAGTCAGACTCACCGGCCCTACGATGTCAGAAACATGGGATACTGTAGTACCAGAGGCAGCACCCAGGTACATGACCTTAGCTCCAGGCTTGATGTGGATCTGGTCAATTCCTCCCAAGATGGCAGCAGCCAGCTTGGAGCGAAAAGGATTCCAGGCTCTGTACTCAATCTTCGTCTCGCCTTCCTAATTAGAGTCAAACCATGTTCACATTAAACAAACTAAGTATAAAAATGGGCAAATGTGGTTTATGTAACAAATTTTAGTTTGATGCAGCATACCTCCACGCTCATCCTTTTTTCTCCGTACACAGACTCTCCCACCACCATGTTCTTGGTCACCAGAGCATCCTCCTTCCCTCTGCAGATGAACACTCCTGAAACAAACATTTAAAATAAAAAATGATGCCACATCTAAAAAGAAAAATATCTTCATTCTGTCACTGTGATTTGTCTTTCAGGGGTAGGGACGGATACCGAATTCGATACTTTTTTAATGTACAGACCGAATTCTGTCGGTACTACCGAAAACCTATTCACGTAACATCAAACTGTACCATGTTTCGGTACCTAAATGCATCATTACGACCGTTTTGGCGTAAGAGTGGTGAGTTTTCCATGCTTGTCCTGAACGTAGCATCACGCAAGAGCATAATGACGTCAACAGCTGCTGGTTCAGTAAACAGTGCTCAGTCTGAACGTAGCTTGAAAGCCTCGCAGCTCCTGGAGTAAAACTCACCGAACAGACCACCTCTGAATTATCTGGTGGATTAATTATCTTGTGAGCATGACGTTCGCTTGCTCAAAGTAAATAAGTACCACCACTTTCTTTATTTCATCCACCATTAAACAGAGACCGGCAGAGGAAAACAACAGAGGAGCTTCTCAACAGCCCAAACACATCTGACCTGAAAGAGCACAAGCAGCTAACGAAGTGTTGGGTGTGTTTTGGATGCTCAAAACGTAGCTTCAATACCTTTTTATTTCTTTTAACTCCATCCTCTTTTGCTTATTTGATTTAAACTTATTTGCCTTCCATGGACCTCCATCACACATTTCTCTAGCGGGGAAATGACATCAATAGAAATATGTGGAGATGGATTTTAATTTGTGCAATAAGACAAAACAGTCTTGTTGTTTTCAAGAGTTTGCACTTTAAAGGGATCCCTGATTAGTTGTAACATTAAACTTTATTTGATAAACATTTATTTCAACTGTAAAATAAAGACTGTAAAAATACTGTAGGCTGTTTAGTTGTGTACATTTTTAAAAATATATTTTAACACAGACAGAGCCATTTTATTTAAACGCAAAACATTCTGGGTAAACGATGAAGTGGGTAGGTCATCGGTACGAGGCTGCTAGCGAGCTATATCCACCCTGAAGGTTAATCTTGGACAATGTCTGA